GCCCCTGCCCCTGCCCCCTGCCCCCTGCCTGCCCCGTGGCCCCTGCCCACCTGCCCCTGCCCGCCTGCCACTGCCCCTGCCTGCCTGCCTCTGCCCCCTGCCCACCCCTGCCCCGTCCCTCTGTAGAGGTCTGGGGGCCTGAGGCTGGCTGAGCAGACGTCACTGTCCTGGGAAACCACCACAGCGGGCTGTGCCAGCTCCATCAACCCAGCTGTCAGACCCAGAGTGACCCCGTGGAGACACACTGACCGGCACATGTCGCCTGTCACGGGAGGATGACCATAGTGGGTCCTCAGCCACCCTCCCCCGGCTGCATGTGGTTTTGAAGTTTATGTTAAGGGGTAACTCCGTATGTTCGGGAAATGTGCCCTAATTTTTCATATTCAGCCAGAGAAAGGTAGAAGTGTTCTGCCACGCTGCTTCCCCCAGAGGGCAGAATCCGCCTTGGGGTCCCCTAGGGCCGCGCCATCGTCTCCCGGCCCCTGGTTACGGTCAGACTCGAACCTAAAACAGGCAATTCTGTGTCCTGCCTCCTCCCACCCAGAGTCCCTCTCAGACACGGGCACAGACCCCCCTCAGCTCCCCCCACTCCAGCCCTGCTGCCAGTGAGCCAGCGCCTCACGTACCTCAGAAAGGTGACAGCTCCTGAGTCCCAGCCAGCCAAGCGTCCGGCTCCCCGAGCCAGCGGGAGGGCTGACCCCGTCCCTCAGTCCGCGTGCAAGCAGACACAGCAAGTCTGGCTCCGATTCCCTGTCCTGATGTCTGGCCTCTGCTGCAGAGGGGGGGCTTGTGAACCAGGAGAGTCAGCGTGGACCGATCCCCTGACTCAGGGACACTGGTCCCAAGTGGCTGCCACCGTCACCCTGACCAGAATGTGCCCCATCAGCTACACAGTCAGGGTTCAAAATCATCGCGGAACCGAGGACACAAAGGAACCTATGTTAATTAAATTCGGTGCCCCTGGGGGGTGGGGGTGGGGTGGGAGCGCAGGGCGGTCCCGCACTGGGCAGGTCTGGGCCCCTCCTGCGGCCCTGGGCCCTCGGCCCTTGCTGATGGTTCGCAGTGGCTAAGAGCGGGTGGAAGCAGCCACGGCCTTCAGAGAACCCCCAGGAGAAGCCCGCGGGGCGGGCGGGCCCTTGCCTGGGTGAGGGCAGTCCTCCAGGGCCAGGCAGAGCGCCAGGGCGGACGGACCTGGAAAGGGGGCAGAGGGTGACCTGCAGTCATGGCGGCCGGGCTCCGAACGCGGGCTGACGGCCGGCGCCCCGCCAGTGCTCTCCTGTCGCCACCGCGAGGCCCGGCAAGCCTCACCCGGCCGCCACAGGGCCCAGACCCGGCCGACGGCAGGCGAGGAGGACCCCACCGCGCCAGGAGCCTCACAGACTGACTGTGAGTTACTCCAGTCCCCACTCCTCTTATCCAAACGCCCAGCACTCGGGAAAACCTCGCAGGACGATCAAAATGCAAGAAGCCCTGATCCCCGGCAACAGAGGCAGAAGCAGAGACGGCCCAGACGGGAAAGTCGAAGACTGTAAAACAAGGAGAGGCGGGGGCCAGGGGGACACACACAGGAGAGGAGAGGATCCAAAAGAACTGGAAATGCCAGAAGCGAAGGCTGTCACCTCGCGAGTGAGTCACTCTGCAGGGGGCCCAGCGAAGACCTGTCACCGGCAACTATCCAGGCAGGACACAAAGACACAGAAGTGGGGAGGAAGACAGGAGCGAGTGTCCAGGACCCGTGGGGTCAGACCTGGCGTGATCGGAGTCCCAGGAGCCAAGGGGAGACACCGGGGGAGACATATTTGAAGATTTAATGGCTAAGAACTTTCCAAGATTGACAAAAGGCACACGCACAGGCCTATAGCCCCAGGCAGGATCGACACGCAGACCTGTGCTCTGTGCGCGTCGGCCCACCCACGGACCCTGCAGGACTCGGGCCTCGCGGCGGCCGGGGAACACTCCACGAGCCAGTCGGTCGGTGTCGCAGATGGGACGGGTGAGGCAGGCCTGGAGGCCTCGGCTCCCGCAGGCTGGAGCACCCAGGACAGGCGCAGGAAGCAGCCTGCAGGGAGGACACGGGCGGGCTACTGGGGTTCAAGTGCATGAGGAGGGAGGTGCGGCACCCAAACGGGGCAGCAGGAGGGGTGGCTTGGAGGAGACGGCCACCGTGCCTGCGTGCTCGCATCGGGGAACGTGGCCAGTTGAAGAGCCACCAGCCGGCCTGTCACGTCAAGGTGCCAGAGAGCTGTGGGCTCCAAGCAGCAGAACCCACCCAAGTGGGGAACGCGCGCCGCCTGGAGCCAAGGCCAGCGCTCGACCCAGGCGCAAGGGAGGCCCCCAGCACCCCACCCCCACCTCGACCCGGGCGCACGGGAGGCCCCCAGCACCCCACCCCCACCCCAGCCAGCGGGCAGAGCCTCACCGACCCCGTGCCCGCTGCCGGGACCCGAGCCAGGCAGAGCGGCGCCCATCCCCTTCCGTGCAAACCGCCACCAGGTGGTCACCGCGACGCGGGTGCGTGTGGCATCCCAGTGACGGAGTCGCTGCTGCGGACACCGGTGTGAAGGAAGTAGTGTTCGCCTTCTCACCGCCACACGGGGCTGCCGTAGGTGTTCACGCGCAGAACGTCTCCACACCTCAGGTCGGCTCTAAGGTTCCCAAAGGGAAAAGCAAAGAACAACGGTGACAACCAGTCACCACTGGCACCAGGCACAGAGGCCGCCGGCCCCCTGACTCGAGGGTGCCTCCACTCCCACAGGAAAGCCTTCCTCCCGTGGCCGCCCTCGGGCCCCTCCAGTCGCCCGGCCCCTCAGAGCGTGTGCCGGCACCGAGGAAGACGGGCCGGAGGCTGGGCCGCAAGCGCAGGACGCAGGCGGCTTCCGCACCGAGGGGACCAGGTGGACGGGAGGTGTCCTCCTACAGGACGGGTGGGCGCCGGAGGGGACACCGTATCTCAGCTGTGTCTCGGCGGCTCGGGGGCTGGGACAGTCCTTCCCACAGGGCTGGAAGCCGGAGTCCCCGTGGGGCCTCTCCTGGTTCGCGGCCACCGCCTCCACCCCTTCACTGTGCACCGCCAGGGCGGAGAGCAAGCACCTCCCAGAGGTCCCCTCCCGGTGCCATCACGCTGGGGGTTAGGCTCCAATGTATGAACCTGGGGGACACGAACAGCAGTCCCGGACACAAAACCAAACCCTAAACCACCCCCAGGGAATCCTCCCCCACGTGCCTTGCCCAACAGCCACACACGTGCACGCAAACACATGCACGTGTGTGCACACGCATTCATACACATGCACACGTGTACACCCATGCACACACACGTGCACGGACATGCATTCACATACACGTGCGTGCACACGCAGACACGCACACTCACAGGCATTCACACATGCTTACGCACGTGCATTCACACACGCGCACGCACACACAAGCATGCACACGTGTACACACACCAGACTCACCAGGGCGCCTCCCCGATCCGATGGGCAGCCCCACAGCACGACCACGGGACAGGAAGCTCACCCACGTCTCCATCCTCACGGCGAGGCCCAGGCTTTGGGCAGATGGGCTCTGGCTACAGTACTGAGCCAGGTCCCTGATCTCGCCCCACCCCTGGCCTGGTGGAATCCTGGGACACAGGGTCGAGAGGCTCCCCCTGCAGCAGGGCGCGTCAAGCCACAGGCCATGACTCAGGCTGCTCGGCAGCTGCTGGGGGCCACCGCAGCCCCAGGCTCCTCTGCTGGTTTTCCTGCCCGCCCTGGGAGGCGGGGCTGTCCTGCGTCTGGTGCCTAGGAACTGATAACCAGCTCCTTGGCCCAGCGCACAGAGCTGCACGGACATGTGGGGTGAACACAGAAGCCCTAGCATGCTGCAGCCCCCACACCTTCCTTCTGCAACGTTTACAAAACCACGTGACCATGTCGGCACAGGTACAGGGCCTGAGTCATGCACTCGGTCCGTCCTCAGCACCTGGCCACCTGCCTCTGCTCCTCAGTGGAGAAGCTCAGATGCTTCTAGGGGAGTCAGCGTCCAGAGGTCCAGCAGCCAGCACAGCTGGGATGACTAAGGGCCCCACTTGGCCCTGCCCAGGGCAGCCAGGCCACCAAGCACCAGAGGGGAGGCCCTGGGAAACCACCAGAAGAGCAAAGGGAAAAAGGTCGCGGGCAGGAGCGGGCAGTTCAGGGTTCGCTGTGTCCTTCAGGTGGGGACCCCGAAGGCCCCGCTTGGCTCCTCCCTCTGAGTGCACTATGGCCCACATTTTCAGAAAAATGCTATACTTTCAAAAGCTGGGAAGATAGACACTGCAAACACTACGACTGAAAAAATAATTTCAAAGAAATGATCTAGGGACACCTGGATGGCTCCGTACGTTGAACATCTGACTTCAGCTCAGGTCGTGATCTCATGGTTCGTGAGTTGGGGCCCCACGATGGGCTCTGTGGGAAGCTCCGACGGAGCCTGGAGCCAGCTTCGAATCCTGTCTCCCTCCCTTTCTGCCCCTCCCCAGCTTGCACTCTCTCTCGCTCAAAAGTAAAAGTTAAAAAAAAATGCTATAAAGACAAAATACCTGTTAACCTTAAAAATAAAAATGCCAGTTATTTTACCAGCAAAAGATGGACTTATCCGGTAATAACAGAATTGCAGTACAACACAAGCAAGCTATTTCCTAAAACCAAAAGCAAATCCTGCATGGGGAGGAGCTGTTTATGGAAGGGGGAGGGTGCTTGGGAAGGACTGTTTTAAGCAAAAAGTCCATTGGAGTAAACTGGGAAGTACACAGTGGGAAGCATAGACACCCGCTTGCCTTGGCCGGGCTGTGGCCGCCTCTCATTGGCTGAGCTGGGACAGACTCTCATTGGCTGGGCCGTTGCTGGGGGAGGAGGAAATCTTCCCTCCTCTGCCCGGATGGTCCCTAGTACCCGTGAGCAAGGTGCATCTCCTCCTGCTGGGTCGGCGTGGGCAAGGAGTGGTGGGCCTGAGCGTGCGCCGCCGCCTCGTGGTGCCGCTCTAAACGAGGTTCCCTTCTATTAATTTTCACATGGCTTCAGGTTAGTGGTTATAAAACACATACACTTTAAGGTATTTTCCACGAGGAAAAAGTACTTTCAAAACCAGTCCGGGGGACGTCGCATCCCACCACTGGCTCCTCCAAGGGTGCGGACCCTCGTCCCTGCACAGGAACTGGGAGGCACGGGTGCCGAACGAGAAGCCCGTGTGCTCGGCAAAGGGAAAATGCCCCACTCCCTATTTTACACATCCAAGTTAAATAGATAATCCAGCTGAAAAGGATCCACTCAAGGACTATGCTGTAGTAGTGGATAATAAACACACTTCCATTCTGTTTGTTGGATAATTTTTTAATAAAATGACGGATACATGACTGATATTAAAGAATGGTCCTATGCATGAAAGAAAACAAACCTTTTTGGCTAAGGGCTGGATAAGGAAGAAAAAGCATGAGAAACCAGCTGGGCAGGGGTGGGGCGGGGAGAGTACAGTCTTACTGGTAAAAAAAAAAAAAAAACACAGACGGTGTGGGCGCTCCCAGTGTCCAGGGCAGGCTCGGGGTGCACGCACGGTGCACCAAAGCTCGTCTAAGTGGCACTGCCCCGCCAACCCCACCATTAACTGCCCTCAGAACTGAGGGGCCATACATGACAAGAGTCCAGATGTCTCTAATTCTGGACTTAACGTGACGTCACCTGACAGTTCTGTCCCAGCGCTAGCGTCACTCGGCACAGAGCAGCCCGGCTAGTGTTGACCTTAAAAATAAAAGTTATTTTATCAGCAAAATGGGTTTATTCAGGAATCACAGAATCGTGACCCGGGATAAGCAAGCTACAGAAGAACCGTAGGCAAGTCCCACAAACAAGTGGGGGCCACGTCACTTATGGAGACAGGAGGGAGCCGAGAGGGCTGCTTTGAACAGAAGCCACTGGAGCAAAGCAGAGTCCAGGGCGATGAGGGCTTCTCGCTGGCTGAGTGGTTTCTGGGCCGTCGGTCTCTGGTGGGAGAGGCAACGTGCATCTTTTCCTGCGGGCCCGGCGCTGACTCCTTCCTGTTGAAGGGTCTTCGGTCGGGTCTGTGACCGGCCATACTCAGTGTCCAGAGGTGCAGCGTGAAAGCCCCCTCCTGGCCTCCTGACTCCCTTTCCGTGAGGTTCCCCTGGATTACTGTTCAGACTCGACAGCAGCGGGGCACGCTGGCAGGCGGCAGCCCCCACGGAAAGGCCAGTCCATGCCGGGAACACGCACAGGAGGGCCCCCCAGCGCCCCGGGTAGGCAGGATGGGACCTTCCCCTCCACCACTTACATATAAATAGGCATAAATAAACCCCCTGCAATCCACATGTGATTCTAACGAAGACGCAGCGGCTGGCACAGCGGAGCTGGGAAGGACCCTCGTGTGGGAGGCGCTACCCGGCCAGCGTGAAGGTCCACGTAAAACGAAGTCCTTATTTAAACCTTAAAAAATGAAATACACCAACTGCAACTGTTCAGGTTATAAGTTTCTAACGTAGCAGCAGGAAACGTTTACAGGAAAAATATACTTTGAATAGCTGACAAAGTCTAAAAAAGATAAAAGTATAAAAAGTCTAAAAAATATATCTTCAGACAAAATATTGCCCAAAACATAGAAAACTTAATTTAAAAAACTTCACCTATCTAAAGTTAAACAAGGCTGGACACCCAGCCGGCGGCGGACGGAGGCCGGAGGGGCCAGCACGGGGGGCCTGCGGGCGCCAGGCCGGCCAGCTGGAGGAGGAGAGAGGGGACGGGCCACCGGGGGGCTGTTCTGGAACGTTCCCCTCATCGCAGACGGGCCCGAGGCTGAGCCCGCAGATGCCCAGGCCACCGGCTCCGGAGGCGTCGGGCGCCCCCCCCCGCCACGGGTCGCACCGGCCGCCGCCCTCAGGTCTCCACCAGGATCTCCACCGCGTGCTCCAGCTCGCCCAGATCCGACCTGCAGCTGGACCCGGGGGGCGCGGCGGGCGCGGGCGCGAAGGCCGGGAGCGCGGGCCCAGGGGGCGCGCCGCCCACCATGCCGGTCAGCACGGCGTCCAGGTCGTAGTAGGAGCTGTCCACGTCCGAAAACAGCTCTTCCACGCACCCGGGCGTTTTGCTCTCCAGCGTTTCAAAGATCTGATCCAGCGACTTCTGGAAGCCCCCCCTGCCCTCCCGGGGGCCGTCCCCTTCCCAGGAGCTGCTCTGCGGGCGCCTGGGGGCCTGTCCCGGGGCCGGGTCTGGCGCGGGGCCGGCCCCCTCGCCCTCCTGCTCCCGCCCCGCTCGGCACAGGATCTCCGTGGAGACGAGGCGGTCCAGGGGCGCGCGCCCTGCGGCCGGGGGTGCCACCAGCCGCCAGGTCCCGTCCTGCGTCATCTCTTCCTGGATCTGCCGGACCGTGTTGGCGATGAGGACCGAGCGGCAGAGGTTGGGCTCGACCAGCATGTGGCACAGCTGGAGCTTGACGAGGGACATGTCCAGGAGCGACTGCCGCTGCAGGGAGTAGGAGGGCGCGGCCCGCCCGCCCGCCGCCGCCTCCTCTGCGTCCTCGGCGCTCTTCCTCTTCACCCCCCGCGCGAACATCGTGCCCTGCGAAGACCAGGGAGCACGCCACTTAGCACATTCCAGAGCCCCCGCCCCCCCCCACTCGGTCTGCAGTCCTCAAACACCGGGCTGCGCCCCACCCCCCACCCCGAGTCCTAGGTGCAGCACGGCCACCCGCACGTCCTCCCGCGGGGCGCCCCCCGACCACTTCCTCGCAAGGCCGGGGTATCTGTACTCACTTCCACAGAAGAAGTCTAAAATACTACGTAGTCCCAGCTTGCTCCTCTCCCCAGGGCGGCTAACAGCCCCGACTGACCATCAGGGCCTCGGAAGCCCCCTCCCACCGGAGCACCTGGCGCACACTTACTGTCAACTATTTTTAGGCAAGTGGGTTAAAGCGTTTACCACCATCCCACACGACAAAGGCTTCTCTCACTGCCGGTGGCACAGGATTCAGGGCTTTTGTTGTGCCAGCAAATACAACTTTTACAGGTTTTTCCTCTCATCACTTGTGTAAAAGTCACTTACTTAAAACTGATGAGTACACTGAGAATGTTAAGAGTCAAACTACAAGGTGCCCTGCGTGTGTGTGTGTGTGTGTTGGGGCGGGGGGTTAACTCTCCAGGGTTCCTCTGCGGCAAACCACTTTATCTTTTCGGCTTTTTTTTTTTCTTCAAAAGAGAGAAGAGTGCGAGCAGGGGAGGGGCAGAGAGAGAGAGAGAGAGAGACAGAGAATCCCAAGCAGGCTCTGAGCTGTCAGTGCAGAGCCGGGATGCAGGGCTCAATCTCACAAACTCTTGAGATCATGACCTGAGCCGAAATCAAGAGTCCGACGCTTAACCAAGTGAGCCAGCCAGGCGCCCATCCACGCTCCATGTTTAGCTTTTAGTATCTCTTTTCAGTCAAATCTAAAATTCCAACTCTGTATGACAACCACTCAGATTTCGGGCCCAACGAAACTCACTCGAATAACATAACGAAGCCCAGGTCACCAACAGGAAGGACTGCGGGCTGCCCCCCGGCTGGCCCTGCACGGAGAGGAGGGCGAGCAGCCCCGAGGGGAGCTGCGAGCAGCCGGAGACCCACAGCGCACAGAGCTCAAAGCTCCACACTGCACCCCCTGGGGGCCCACCTCCCTTTCCACGAGGGGTCAGCGAGCCTGAGACACGAGTGTGAGCAGCTGGTCCAGCAGGGGCATCTCACACCAAGGCTGAATTCAGTGCCAGCCACGCCGGGATGGTCAACGGCAGCCCCAGGCCGCACGAGGAGCCCTTACTCGTATTTGCCCTGAAAGCCTGTGTGTTGAGGATGGTGGCTAGATCCACGCAGCACCCCAGCCCTTCCCTGCAGCAACCAGCTACAAAAGTGAAGACCAACTCACTAAGTCGGAGCGGCTGGAAGGAGGACACTACCACTCACGGCCCAACTCCAGGCCCACAGGGAGTAAGCACAATGCGACCCCCACAGGAACCTGACCACCCGTCACTCAGGGAAAGAGAAAGTCACCACCTTGACTCCCGCTCTTCTCCCACTTTTTGTTCCCTCCAAACCACTTCCTTATTCTGCTGGATTTGCCTATGGCTCTGAAAACCCTTGCATGTCCTGTTAATTTCTTTTAATATTTATTCATTTTTTTTAATTTTTTTTTTTTTTATTTCTAGGAGAGAGAGAGACAGCGTGAGCAGGGGAGGGTCAGAGAGAGAGGGAGTCACAGACTGAAACAGGCTCCAGGCTCTGAGATGGCAGACAGCACAGAGACCGAAGCGGGGCTCGAACCCACAAACAGCGAGATCATGACCTAAGCGAAAGTCGGACGCTTAACCGACTAAGCCACCCAGGCGCCCCTTAATATTTATTCATTTTTGAGAGAGAGAGAGCGCATGAGCAGGGGAGGGACAGAGAGAGAGGGAGACGCATAATCAGAAGCAGCTCCAGGCTCCGAGCTGTCAGCACAGAGCCCGACGCGGGGCTCGAACCCACAAACTGCGAGATCATGACCTGAGCCCAAGTCAGGCACTTAACTGACTGAGCCACCCAGGTGCCCCTGTCCTGTTAATTGTAAAGCAAAACTTCCAGGACATCTGGGCCGCTCAACTAGTTACGGGTCTGACTCTTGATCTTGGTCATGAGATTGAACTCTTGAGTCAGGCTCCGCGTTGGGCTTGGAGCCTAGGATTCGCTCGCAATAAATAAATAAATAAAACTAAAACTCTGTTATTTCACCAGCAAAAGATGGGTGTATTTCAGAATAACGGAATTTCAATTCAGGACAAGCAAGCTACTAAAAACCCAAAAGTAAGTCCTGAGAATGATCTGGAGGCTTTTTCAGGGGGCGGGGGAGGGAATGGGGCTGCTGAGCAAAAAGTCCCTTGGAATAAATGGGAGTTCGGAGTATAGAGGCCTCTCATTGGCTGAGCCAAGACGGCCTCCCATTGGCTGGGCTGTGACCATCCCTTATTGGCTCAGCTGCGTCAGTCTCTCATTGGCTGGGCTGTCGCCGGGGGAGGAGGAAACCTTCCTTCTCCCTGCTGGGACACTAACAAGGTGGCGGGTGCGTGTGTGCGTGTGTGCGCGCGGCGCGGCTCTCCCTGTCGGGTCTGCGGCGGGCTGTGAGCGCTGGGGTGTGCGGTCCCCGCCCGCCTCCCTGCTCTAGTCAAGATGTGGTCTCCTTCCACTGTTTTTCACACCTTAAACCGCTATTGTTCTTCCCAAATACACCCATTTTTGCTGGTAAAATAACCTTTATTTTTAAGGTTAACACAGCCCGTAAGTCAGACTTCTATCTCCAGTGACAACCCAGGAAGCCAGTGACTTCCGTCAGTCGCCCCAAGGAAAGGGCTTCATCAGTAACTGAGGCCTCCCCGATAGGTGTCCCCACTTCTAGAAAACTCCAAACGCGCCCCCCCCCGCCTGCAGCCCCGCCCCGTCCGTCTCCGCAGCTTCCTGTCCACAGCTGGGAAGAGTATCAGAAAGGACGCAGCAAAAAGCACCCCTGCCCTGCCGTCGGAGAACCAGTCAGCACGCAGGTTCTTCTCTGTGCATCCGCGAGCTCGTGAGAGTTCTGCTGTTTTTATCACACTTCCCATGTCGTGTACAGGTTTACCATCACTTCTGACCGCCACACGCTGGTCCTCCGGTATAGGCAAACGCTGTGAAGAACTGAGCCTTCTTCCCTGACATCTGCACCACTCACGGTGCCCCGGGTTACAGTGATGCTGGGTTCTTACTGGGTGTAGATGCTCGCAGCACTCGATTCCTGAGTTTCTACTAGGGCTTAAAAGGTAGGGGCGCTTGTAAGGCTTGTCATGAACACGGTCAAGCTGCTTTCTAGAAGGCTGAATCAATTCACCCTCCACCTTACCGATTACCCCAGCTCCAACCTACGTGCCTCTGCCATTAACCTGGGTCACCACCCAGATGTAAACATTTTCAGATTCAAAATATGCTGGGGCGCCTGGGTGGCTCAGTTGGTTAAGCGTCCGACTTCAGCTCGGGTCATGATCTCACAGTCTGTGGGTTCGAACCCCACGTCGGGCTCTGTGCTAACAGCTCAGAGCCTGGAGCCTGTTTCAGATTCTGTGTGTGTCTCTCTCTGACCCTCCCCTGCTCGCTCTCTGTCTCTCAAAATAAAATAAAGACATAAAAAATTTTTGAAAAAACAAAATAAGCAAGTCAAATGGGTAAGCTGAGGTGTGTCTGACAACGGAACACTACCCAGCAACAAACTCCATGCTCACCTAGGCAACAGTGCGGTCGGACCTCAAACGCCATGCCGAATTACAGAGCAAGAACAAATAAACAGGTACCCTAGGACTCCGTTCATAGGAACTTCTGGAAGAGGTAAAGCTAACCTAAGCTGTGAACTAGCAGATGGTCACCAGTGGGAAAGCTGGGATGATCCAGAACTTTCCGGGATGCTCGAAACGCACCCTAACCAGACGGGAATGGCATTCTTCAGATTCCCTGGATAGCACAGTAATACCTGTTCATTTCACTGTATTAAGTGACCCTGATAAAGAAAACCACGTAAACGAGTTCACGGGGGGAGGCTACCACAGTAACGTGAACCACACCATTTTAGATACTGCCTCCCATGCATCACTAAGTGCCTGGACCACACGCCAGGACAGGTATGTGCTCAGAGTCACTCAAACTATTCCCTTCAAATGTGCCAAACCCCGAGCAACTATTAATTTTTGTTACACTCTGTACAAGAAAATGCTGGCAGACTTGCAACTTGAGGAGGAGTTCAAGGGCATCCCATGCAATCAGGTGCCACTGTGCAGTCACCAGAGCCTGTGTCAGGGTGACACCAAGGGCTGAGCCCAGGAGAAGGTGGCCGTTGAGACTCACCCTCCTCAGACGTTTGCGTCTGGGACACAGCAGAGTATGGTTCTGAAGGCAGTGGAGGGGGGCACACAGAACCCCCCCAGGGCTGGCCTGGACCATGACTATGGCCTGGGGCACTTGACCTTGACACAAGACCCAAGACTTCCCCAGCTGTCCTAACTGCAGAGCCTGACTCACCATTAAGTTCCCAACAAGAAAGTACAGTAACACCTTGGACTGCGAGGAGCTCGTTCTGCGAGTGTTCTGCCAAGGCGAGCAAACACCTCTGATAAGTTTAACTTGATAAACGGGCGGGGTCTTGCACTACCAGTGGTACATGATGCGGAACATCACATGATCACAACGGAGCCAATGGCTCCTCTCTCTCTCTCTCTGCGGGACTGGGTGATCATCTCCCATGCTGCGATGCTCGGTCTCAGGCTTCGGTGTTTGGGCAGAAATCAGTGACTTTTCAGGACGTTGGAAGGTGCCCACGACTGGCACTAGTGTATTTCTGCCACCTCCAAGCACCTCTGGACAGCCCTTTGCTTTTCCAGACAAGAGGGAGCCTAGGAAGGCTTTGCTTCATTCCAGGTCATTGGACAGGTTCCTGGTTGAAAGTGCACGAAAAGAAGATTCCACTGAGCCCACAGACAGCAGTGATTCCATCAGTGATCGTGAACACCGTTCTACACAGCACCCTCCTCTGTCCCGTCGCCCTCACACCAGCCACGAACGGTTTCAAAGGGCAGGTTAATCTACCTTTATGATTTGTATTTTCTTTATTATTCTGTATTACAGTATGGTAATCATTTTTTATAAGAATATATTTGGGTTGTGGGACGGATCATCTGAGTTTCCAGTATTTCTTATGGGGAAATTCACTTTGATGTGCAAGTGCTTTGGATTACGAGCATGTTTCTGGAACAAACTATGCTCGCAAGCCAAGGTTTTTACCGTATGAGCTATTACACACCTCCGTCCACTGCAGACAGCCAGAAGGTCTTACTGAGTTAAACCCCATCAACTCCTCAGGGTCAATGGTGTTGGGCTCGAAACCCTCCCAAGCCAGTGGACAAGCAGGCCGTCAGCGTTAGCCCCTCGGTCACGGCACAGCAACCCCCAGAACAAGGGCTGCCCAACAGGAAAAACTGAAGACAGACTGAATGATTCCACGTGGCAGGTAGAGCCAGGGAGGGGTGCGGTGCCCGCCCTTTCAGGACCCCCCCACGACGACGGGGAGCCCGGCCTGGCGGACCCTCACCGTTGGTGGCCTGTCACCTCTCCCGCGGCTGCTCTCACAACGTGGGGCCGGCAGTCCCGTGAGGCCGGTGGAGAAGGCAGATCCCCAGGCTCTGAGCGGAAGGGCAGGGGGAGCAGGCCACAGACTCTGCTCCGACCTGACCCTTCACCAGGACCTTCGGCTCGGGAAGCTGTTCTGCAGGCAGGCCAACACGAGTCTCGGTTTCGGTCCCGTGATCAAGTTGTCTTTGAAAGACTTCATCAGAGGAAAAGGGGAAGACAGAGCAAGCGTGGGAATCTTGAGAAGAGCTGCCCGGGAGTCCAGCTGGGGGGCGAGGGTCCATCGTCACTGTTTGAGACTCTCCTTCCGCCATTCCTACCAAGTGAATTTTGGGGGCTTTTGCTATGTGGAATGAAATTTGCCAACTCTACATGGAAACAGGTTCCATTAGCAAGTTGAAAAAAACTTCCTAGGCCTCTTCCCAGGATAAAACCTAACATTCTTCCTAGAAAAAAGTCGTAACAACTGACTTTTTATCCTGAATTTCAACTTCAATTGTAAAATATGCCAAAACATGAAAATAAAGAGTAGTTATATGCTAGAAGTGTATAAGACATCAAACTTAATTCTGTAAACAGGCAGTGTTTTTCTTGTTTTAAGAGAACAGTTAAGTCAGTCCTGCTGTCCCGTGCACGCAACACAGTTGGGAAACCCTTGATTTGGACGAGAGCGTCTCTGAGCAAAGTCTTGTTACCTGGTAAGCCCTTTTCCTGGCGATTGTATTTCGCAGACAATACGCTTTTGGGAAGCCGGACTTAGCTTGCTTTTGGCTCGTGGAAGAGTTTCTGAACTTTCCCTAGTCCCCGCACCGCCAGCCCCCACACACCTGAGTGCCACCGCAGGCAGCCACAAGGAGCACACCCAAGAGTTTACCAGCCAGGGCCTGGGAACCCTCCTCTTCCCACCCCCCACCCCCCTCCCCCCTCCCCAATCTCCGTCTCCACTGCCCTCGGCAGCTAGAGCGGACCGAACAGGGGGCAGGCACCGCTTGCTCCCTGATATTCCCTGGCCGGCTTAAAAAAGTTGGGTCCGCTACAGATTGGGGGACGGAAACCAGTGCAAAATGTCCTCGCCGTTCCCTTTTAAAACAAGTCAAACCCAGAAACAAAGGAAAAGAAGTGGACGTGGACCCTCACGGGCCTGCAGTCCACTGCGGACTCCACTGCCCTCCAGGGCCCCGGAGCACGGTGCCCCGGGACGGGCCATTCTCGAAGGCGTTCGATTACCAGCGGAAGCCGGTGCTGCCCAGAGGGCTGGGATGAGACGAGGCACCCGCAACACACGGCCAGCCCCCCACTCACCCCGCAAGGAGCGCAGGCTACGAAGGAGACCCGGGAGCGCGGGCACCACGCACCAGCGGGCAAGGGGCGAAAAGGGGAGATGAGCGCGAGCAGGGGGCGCAGGCACCCGGGTCGGGGCCGCAGTCACGTCGGCCGGGCTCCCCACGCGGACCCTTCCCAAGTCCGAGGTAGGAAGGCGGTGGGGGCTGTCCTGGGAGGCTGCAGCGCCCCGGGGCCCCGCCGACCCCGTGGTGCGACTCTACTCTTAAAAAGCCCGCAGCGTGATGAAAGCCGGGGGACAAGCAGTACCTTCCGACGCGAGGAGTGCGGGGCCGCCGGCGCGGGAGGGGATTCCCAGGTGGAGGAAGGCCCTCGGGGCGGACGGGCGGGGGCAAGGGGCGCCGGTGGCCCGCGTCGCGCCCCCTCCCCGCCCCCAGAGCCCCGGCCTGCTCCCGGGAGCCCGCAGCCCCCGCCCCGGGCGCCCAGGCCCGCCCGCCGCCGCACAAAGCCCGCCGCCCGCGCCGGGACGCTCACCTGGCCGCCGCCTTCCGCGCCCGCTCCCGCCGCCGAGGGAGGGGCGGGGCCGGCGGGGCGGGGCCGGCGGGGCGGGGCTGGGCGGGGCCTCTCCGCGCCCACAAAGGGTCGCCATGGCGCCGGCCGCCCCGCCCGATGATTGGCTGAATGCGAGGGCGGGGCCTCCCGTTCAAACCGCGGGCGGGGCCTGGCGCGCGAGTTCCCGCGCGGCCGCGTTGGCCGTTGGGGGCCCGCGCCCGGGCCGCCCCGCCCCCGCCCGCTCCCAGGTCTCCGCGCGCGGCCCCAGCGCGCCTGCGCAGGGCCTCCGGGGCGGGGCGTGGCGGGAGAGGCCTCGGACCGGGCCGGAGGGGAGGGGAAGGAGGGAGGAGCCGGAGCGAGGGCTGGACGCGGGGGACGGGAAGGACGGGAGGGGAGGGAGAGGACGGCGGGGGGACTCAGAGACGTGGGCCGTAGGGGGGGCAGGAGGGGGCAGCCCTGGTCACTACAGGGACTTCCGGGTTTACATGTGAGAAATGAAACCATAAAAGCCCAAAGCAGAGGAGGGTTTTAAAAAACGTCCTTAGAAGAAGAGGACTTAAACAGAGTACAAAGTCCTGACGCCAGTAATGCGGGCGGCGTCGTTCGGTGCAGGCCAGGGCCGCGGCTCTAGGCGGGAAAGCCCGGCGCTGCGCTGTGTCGCGTGACGGGGGCCCGGGGTCAGGGGGCCGGGAGGAGGGAGAGGACTGCGGCTGGAGCCTCCAGCCGAGGGGTGTAAGGGAGGGTGCGAGGCGGAGACCGCTGCAGGGGGGTGCGGAAGGGCAGGTCCCAGAGCGGCGTGGGGAGCGCCGCCCTCGCCGCATCTGGAAGGGGGGAGGGGAGACGTGGGGAGCCCACGGAGGGTCCTGCAGGCCTAGGGGGGAGACCGTGGGCTGCGAGCAGTGTGGCTGCACAAATGTAGAATGTTCGTGTGTCAAACAGCGGGAACGCTAGGGGGAATTCTGCTCCTAGCCACATGCCACACAAACCACCAAATTCCGTAATACACAGACGCCCTGCAAATCAAGCAAGGGGAACAAACCAGTAGAAATCGGGCACAGTTCAGGGCCCTTGACTGGTGAAGAGGCAGGTGCTGAGCCTCCGAATAAGAGCCATGCGTGTTAGAGCCGCTCTAGATGCCGCTTCATGCTCTCGGGTGGGCAAAAATCAAACGTACTCTCTGGAGGAAGGGTACCTACAGCCACCGCTCTCTTTCCCCCAACATGTTCAGCATAAAATGAAAACTTCACAGGCATACCCAGACACAAAACCAAAAAATGGAAAAACAAGATTAAAAAAAAAAAACCTGCCCATAATAATAGACTTATGGGGGATCCTTATATTGGAATTATCAGATTTTTTAAAACAGCAATCATTTTAATCATGAAAATTAATGACAAGAACTAGACATATTAAAAAGACTCAGATGGAAGAACTAGCATTGTTATGCCCGAATCGCGAGTCCCCAGAGCCCTCCAAGGAGCCGGCACCGATGCAAGAACAAAAGGGTCTTTATTACAAACTCGAGCAGGGGCTCACCGGTCTCCCGGCGCAGCGGCAGCAGGGTGAAGCCCCGAACAGTGGTGAGCAGGGTTTTCATGGGGGAAGGGCGGGGGTGTTACCGTGCACACATTGTATGTTTTGCATCATTACATAAGCACCAATCATAATTGTACAATGCCCATAGTAACAGCATAGTAACAGTTTTGACCATTCAGTATCTGCGAGAAATAAGTTACATTTGGAGGGACCCAATCATGACCTTTGAGAGTCTTTTAAAATGACCAATTATGAGGTGGGCTCAGAGAATCTACCTGCAGCTCCTGAAAGCGTGATTGATTGGCAAGTTTGTACAAAGTAACTACCTGCAGTTCCCAGCCCTGACTCGTCTCCAAGACCACAGGAATGTTACCCATTTCTTTTGATTGGCAGATCCGAGGGCGGTCCGAGGGCGGCTTCAGCTGAGGCTTTTCCTGGAACTGGGACTGTGTGCAGCCTGAGGTTGTTTCTAATGGAGGACTTAATTTCAGGCTCCTCAGCATCAGTTTTACACAGTGTTCTGGAGAATAAAGAAGGAAGTCTTCCCACCGAAAGGGGCAACATCACCCGAAGCTAAAGCCTAGAAGGATGGCAGGAAGGAGGAAGGACAGGCTGATCCTCTCGCGGCCACACTTCCAACTTCCAAACAAAATATTAGCAACTCCAGGCCCATCAGAAGAAGAGCTATCACAGCCACGTTAGGGTTATTCCAGGAGACAGAAGGTCAACATTCCAAACCAACCAAAATAATTCACGACATTTACAAAACGAAGGAGGAAAAATAGTTGAAACTCTTGCTAGGTGGAGAAGAATCACCTGATAACACTGAACCCACATCCGTGATAAAACACTTAGCAAACTTCATACGCAAGTGCAAGGTCCGGAACAGTCCACAACACCACCCTCACTCTGACACCCACTGCGAGTGGGGGGCCACCAAGACTACCCTCGTTTCGATAATTCAATACAAAGATTCACTGGACTCGTTGAAAACTTACAGTCATGGCTTATTACTGTGAAAGTGTGCAGATGACAGTCCTGCAGGGGAAGAAGTGTGTGTGGGGGGACCAGGAGGGCCCCATGCCTGGGGCTTCCACACCAAATGACCCGAGGGGGCCCCCACCCTGTATTCTGCTCCGTGGTGTGGGCCCTGCACACACACACACCCCCAACACTCACCTGGGGAGGCAGGACAGCCCAGGGTTTCAGGATCACCTCCCAGGACCCAGCACAAAGACCACACCTCCCCTTGGGCCAGGCCTACACAGCAAGGGGCCTCATCTCATCCAAATAAAGTGCACTTACGAGAACCTACAGGCAGTGCCATGGTGACTAGTGAAGCAATTGAAAGCTTCCTCCTGGGACCAGGAGTCAGGGGCAGATGTCTGCTCCACTCTAACACTGGACATGGTGTGTGTGGGGGGACAAATAGGCGAGGAAAGGATTTGAAAAGACCCTAACCCTTCCCAGCTCTTTTAACCTTAATTACCTCCTAAAAGCCCTGCCTCCAAAAACCAGCATAGGAATTTGAAGGGGACACGATTCCGTCCATAGCAAATCTCCAGGTAAATGGATCAAATGAAAAAAGAATTAAGCATGACCATCAGATAATCATATTTATATATACCAATAACAAGCCACTATGACATTGTTTTAGGGGTGCCTGGGTGGTTCAGTCGGTTGAGCATCTGACTCTTGATTTCAGCTCAGGTCATGATCTCAGGGTGGTGGGACTGAGACCCATATTGGGCTCTGTGCTGATTGTAGAGCCTGCTTGGGATTTTCTCTCTCTCTCTCTCTCTCTCTCTCTCTCTCCCCCTCTGCCCCTCACCCAGCTCACGTTCTCTCTCTAAAAAAATTTTTTTTGAATGTTTTAATGATACCATTGCAAAGCACCAAAAATATCGGCACCAGATCGATCTAACTACAGATGTGTAAGAGCGCTCCCTGGAAACCGCAAAGCCCTGCTGGGAGGTCAGTGGCTATTTAGGGGGACGTCCCGGCCCCCTGGAAGACTCACCGTTGTAAAGATACCAGCTCTCTCAAGCTTACCTTCAGTTCAGTGAGCAACGCATCCCAACCCTCACCTGTTTTCGTGGACACTGACAAATCGGTCCTAAGATCTGTATGGAAAGGCAAGGAGCCAGGGAGAGCGAGGAGGTCTTGGAGAAGGGCAGGCGCGCTGTGAGTGGGGACGGCCGCTCCGGAGACCCGTGGGGCAGACACGTGTTCACAAAAACACTTGTACCCGAATGTCGATATAAGGGAATCTCCATTAGGGCTTCAAGCGAAAAAGAGGCCAAGTGCCCCCAGCAGAAGGGGCGCACGAGGCAGGGCACGCATGGCCGGGGCACACCCCCAGCTAAGTCAGTAACCGTCACTGCCCACAGCGGCATAGACGGATCTCAGAA